ATTACTTTCATTTCAGTTCTGTAACTCTTCCGTCCAATAAGGTTTCCGTCGCAGAGTAGAGTTTATTCTCCCCATACTATCTCTAACCTTTAGTGTTGGTAACTTTGCCTCCATTTCGCTTTCTATTAACTTAGTAAAGTCGCTGTACGCTTGGTTAACATCGGAGGAAACCTCTAAATCATGCTCTATTTCGTCAATTGCCGTTAAAATTTTCCTCATTGCATCATCATCATAGATATATGGTCCTACTGTATACTGGGTTAGACAGAGACCTATTCCCGTGTTATATAGATGTATGGTCCTACTGTATACTGGATTAGACAGAGACCAGTTCATGGATTATGTATACGTATGATCATTTACCATACAGAAAAAGATGACATAAAATAAAAATCATTTACGATGTTCTGCTGTAATTTCAGTTCGTTATCGCTGTATATTTCTGATGTTTTATTGGCGAAGCTTGACGTAAGCACAAGAATTTTCTCTTGTTCAATGAAACTTTAAGTTAGATATTTTATATACAGTTTCCCATTATCAGATGGTGTTCATACGGAGTGAGTTACTGACAGCACAAATTTTTATGCTTGTGTTATGGATTCAAGTTCAAGGTTAAATGTCATTAATTGTTCATGTAGTGGTTTTAATGTTGGAGAAGACAATGATTAATCAGAAGATTTTGTTAATATAAAACCACAATGAAAGCCGAGAACACCTTTCTAACAAGATTATAGATATCATTATAAGATGGCCTGACAGATCTATCCACACGTGACACTCCTCGTGGATCACGTGGTCCTCCTACAATCTGATAAATCGTGTCACACGACAACATAAGGTCTACATGCCTATATATGATAACCCAAAACGTATCATCTTGTATTTCGATAAAGTCACCTTTCTATCGCCAAGATAACAAGAGACCCAATGTCCTGTATCGCTGATACAGTTCCCACAAAATGAATTAATTCAAATCTAGCAGAACGAACTGCAAGTGTATAATACTCAAGGTTTAACTTGAATCTTCAATCTTATGCATCCTTTTCAAATGGACTATGACCCTTATGGCCTTGGTTATGGGCCAAGTTTATTGTGTCTGCAATGTTTGTCAAGATTCCAACAAGTCTGCCCATGTGACATTGAATATAGATCAAGGTCATTCATATCCACAAATGTTATCGGGCTTCATCCCAAGAACAAACATTTGGTTAATCACTAGAGGTCATTTGAGTGCTCTGGAAAGCTGATTTTAGTTTCTTTGTGGGGCTTTATCCGAATACCTACCACGGTTTATTTGTAAATTTTGCACATTATCTTCTTGACCATATGTAAGACGAGCTTGCTGCTTAATATGTTATCAAGAATAATTAAAGCCAATTATTATCATAATTGAAGGTTTCCACAAATCAATTTCTATTTATCAAGTTTTATACCACTTCCTCCCAGAGACCAACTAGATGAATATATGTATCGAGATTAATCGCATTGTGCACAAATTTAGCCACTGTGACCTTGAATATAGGACAATGTTATACTTATCTACACCGCACCGTTTATTGGGTTTTATTCTAAGACTAGTTGAATATCAGGATTCTAGATTAATGAGTTAATTCAATTAAAATCTTTGAATGTTTTCAAAATCATTGACTGACCCCTGGTACTTTTTTCACAATGTCTTTCGTTGCAAATTATTTTATCGGGCATCTCACGACTCTATACATGTATTTTGATTACTCAATGTTTTAACAAACGTTGCTGTGACTTTGAATTTCGGTTAATAGTTTCTGATAGTTAACTTTCCCCCGGGAACCTAGGAAATGAATATCATTACTCAAAACATTTTAAGTAATAAAAAAAAGGAAAAAGCAAAACAAAAAATGTGTGTATGATAGATAACAAGTCTGGCTCTTTTGACCACGAACATGGTTCAAGGTATTTTTTTCGCAAACTACGTTGGGCTTTCTGCAAGAAAACTATCTGTCGAATACCAAAATTTTCAGTTTGTTTGATAATCAATTATTTAAAGTCGTTAAATGTTTAGAGAAAGTGTTACCTCTGTGATATACATTACGATAAACGTCATTTCTTTTCGCACAGGTACCGACCAGCTTCATGAATATCAAGATTAATCAGAAAGTGGTTTACTGTCTGAACAAGTTTGACCTCACCTGCCAAGGGTAAATTCTGTCATATTTGATCAAAGTCAGACAAGACACGTTCCAAGGAAAAGTTTACTCAAATTCCAAAGACAAGGCCGAATACTGTGTCCAGTACGGTTAGCAATTGCCGGGTATATATTGTGATTCTCTTGTGGTGTGAACTTTTTCAATTGTTTGACAGTTAAAAAACATTATGTGAAAATGGACTAGTTAAAAAAAATCATGATATTGTGACCAATTATACCAGATTTTGACATTTTCCAGCTTAGTGAACACGGGATACGTGGTTAGCAGATAACACGAAAACTATCACTCGGATATAAAGTTTGACGGACGTTAACAACGACCACCTTCGCTTTGATCTAGCCGACTGAAAATCTGGTCTTCGGCTATCTTACTATATATGCAGTGCTTTTCTGTTTATCATATAGTACCTTTAGAATGGCACAGATATTGGATCTCTCCTTTTTCCACTGCCAGAAGAGCTGGTGTATTGGGGACAAATGTTATCATTGTGTAGCGGTCATACACGTGCTGCTTATTAATTTCATGCAGAACTAATTTAAATTTAACTGAATTATTAAATGATACAGAACTATATCTGCGCACATTTCTTCAAGCATTTGAAAAAATTCCCGTTCTTTTTCTCTTTATTGACGTCCGGCACCATTGTTGGGTCTGTATTTATTCGGTAAAAGCTTGGTCTTACTTTTCGTCTCGTTTTACTTTCCTTCGTTCTAATTCTTAATTACATTAAATTTGAAAATTCCTCTTATAAGAACTAGCGAACTATCTTAAATGATCAATTCCAAGGTTACCTGTCTGCCATTTGTTTTATTTTGTTTATCAAAATAATGCAACCAGCGACCAATGAGAACCTACATATAAATTTTGAATGGTCAATTCAACAATATCCACCACACCTCCACCCCACAACACACACGCACAAACAAATAAACTTTCACTGTCAAACTCACAGAGAGCCGTCGGTCAGCCATTTTGTTTTTAAATTAAAGATTGAATTGTCATCACATATCTACCAACCATCTGCACGTACTTAACTTATCTGCGCATTCCAGTAGATGACTAAGTTTCTGCCGACTAATAAGTTTCAGGAAACTATATATATGCTCAGGAAACTATGTTATGTATAACATATGATATTTCAAGGGTTTTAACTTATCTTGTGCTCTTATAATTGAAACACGAAAAAACAACAGATTAAGAGTAAAGAATTTTATTTTCTGAAACAATAAATGGAAACTGCTTTAGACATCATTGTGCAAAATAGACTACGATGTACATCGTTAATATCACAATATGGCATCTCACTGAGTGAGGACCCAAACATTGTACTAGCTTTTCTCAATAAACATTCACACACACTGTCGCATGCAGCTTTCTTCAAATAAAAAACCTTATCGGCAACGTGAACGTTTTGTATAATTCATTTCTATAAAAAAATCCAAACCAGTTTACAAATCTTCCCAATCAAATAACTATAAATACATCTTTACTAATTATACACCATCAGACAACACAACATCGAAACATTTCAAGTATGTGGAATCAGACAACACACAATAAGAGCTACATGTGGCAGGTATAGAGTTTTACATGACAGTTATGATATTAAAATGCGTCTTGTCCTGGCAGGAGGGAAACACATTTGTTACGTAGGAATGTGTCTCTTGTTAAGAAAAGTTAATGAAATGCAACAAGCAACAAAACAAAAACATGCAGGAATGGTGTATCAATGCACGCCATACATTTTTACACGGGTTTTAGTTTGTAGAGTGTGCAAATCCGACCTTGTTGTTTCCAAGGTCAAATTCGCTGTAGAATTGTCCGAGGAAAACATCTCCAAGAATCCATAAGGGTCCGAGAGGGGCGGGAACATCTATACCAGTAAACCCACTGAGGCAGATAGTCTGGCCTTGCTGGGAAACCTAACGAAGCAGATTAAGGTAGACACTGTTAGAATAAAACTATATCGGGTTAGCATGCTTCGGGAATCAGTATGTTGTGAATTATTTTAGGATTTTTCTCAGAAATAATATTAACTGAAGAAAGCTGAAATAAAATGTTAATAGAACAGAATTGAAAGAAAGGAAAAAAACATTTTATACAAAGAAATGTCAATAAAAGAGAAAAAAACATGAAAGCTAAGTATTAGTAAAGCTATCAACCACCACCTGAAATAAACGACATGAAGGTGCTAGTATTCTACCAAACAGTGTGCGGGTACTAACAATCTACCTTAATGATACTGATCATACATACAAGTAGTGATAGGACTACACAAAGAATGCCAAAACATGCATTAAAAAACATTATAATCCGAAATTATATTTGAAGTATTTTCCATGCAATCCACAACATCTAGTCAAAATAAGTAAAAGTGACACCTTGTCAACTAAAAAAGCAATCATTGTAAATTAATGTCATAAGTGAAGGATTATAATTCATTTAGATTAAATTCTTCTTTCCACATATGTATTTATCCGATTATATTCATTTATTTAAAGCCTAAGATAACAGATTTATCTATGCTGCAGACAGTGTCCTAAATCTGATGGACAAGTAAAGGCCTGTATGTTACTTGAACTAGAAACCTGTTTATCGTTCAGAGATACCTTCACTGCCCTTAGAGACATTGAACCTGACCAAGTCCACAGATAAACTGTTATCACTACAGTCCTTCATTCACACACAAATACACTTTATAAGCACTTTACTGCTGTACAAACGGAAATGTTTCAAGTTTCACTATATCAAAGTGTGTCCATCATAGCTTAGTCAATTTAATCCACACTAAAAATACACAAATTTGAGGACTGGTGGTTTTATAAGACAATTTTATTTTATATTTGGGACAGAAATCACGGGTGAGATCGTGGGACAACTTCATTACACAATTCATGACTTAATCAGTAAATTAGCCAGATGATCAACATCGCTAAATATTAACCATATTAGTGTAGAATGGATTCCACATGCAGACTAGATTGATAAGGACTGGCTGATTTTTTAATGCCACTATGATATTGCATTAATGTTTTCCTGTCATGGTTTCTCATGCCAATTAAGAATTAAAAGCAAATGACCATTCTACACTGCCACTATTATGCAATACATGTACCTGACTGCAAGGTGAAGTGGAAGAAATGTGACAAATATGATCTTCACTTTTGACCATGTTACTAATGAAATTCCCAACAACATCTCAAAAATACATGGAATATCAAAATTACAAAATACAAAAACAATTAGCACTTAGTATAGCACAGATCTGCAATATTTCCACTTTCCTTTCTAATTGTCTCTTTCCAACTGTAAAGTTAAAATTGTGAGTCCAACTATATTAAAGTATGTGTTTCCAGAAATATTTAGTTCCTTAAAAATATCATTCTGAGTACAGAACTTGGGTCTCATATCTATATCACCTATGAAACCATAATCATTTACATCACATAAATCATAACATTTTTTTATATTTTAACTAAAAATATTGAGATTTCATAATGAGATGAACTTGGATCTAACAGTTGTTTTGTAGTATCATGTCATTACTATTCAGATCTTTATTCAATATTGGTAAATAAATCCAATATATTGTTGATGACAATTAGGTCCAAGGTTACATGCACAAGGTTTGTCATATACTGCTTATATGTCCAATTAGGTACTGGATCAATAGAAATATATCCTGAAGACTTGTAGCAGCCTTCACTGCTAAATCTTTTATGTATCTAACAGTAAATATTTCTTTTGTTGATAAAAAAGTAATTTCCCAGAATTAAAATCTGGTAGATTACTGAGTAAACCTTCAAGTTATCACATCATTAAGTGCTTCTTTTTTCCATTTCATGTCAAGACTGATGTTCTAGAAAATCAACCAAGAAAAACAAAATTGTATTTCAAGTGCTCTAAATGTTGGTAAAAGATTCACGTAAGCCAACAGCCAGTTTACTGCTTCACAAAGACAGGAATTAATGTAAGAATATTGCTTGTTTTCCAATAATTTTTATACTCCGTTTGTTTTTTCCATTGTTCTTGCAATATGTTGATGTTGGAAATAAAACATTGTTTACAAATTTCATCTGAAATATGATAGCTTTTTCCAATGAAGTTATTTAACATCAAAATGAGAAACACTGTGTTTCCATAGTGATAGTTGTTTGATTGCAATTTAATGAGTGTTGGCTACAGTAAAGGGTAGGAGAGGTGTGCATCCTTAGTTCATAGGTATGTTCCAGTTGTGGACATTCTGGTCCCTCCAATCAAAATCAGGATGTCTGAAATCAGAATTAAGTGCTGTGCTACTGCTTCCAGACTTTGCAAATCCAACCCGATTATTAGCCAAGTCAAATTCAGAGTAGAATCTGCCAAGGAAGACATCCCCGAGAATCCACAAAGGACCAAGGGGAGCTGGGATATCCATTCCTATAAATCCACTGAGACATACTGTTTCACCCATCTCTGTTACCTGTAATAAGGAAACATTTCAATACAGAACAGACATTCACATAATTTACACATATCCTGATATGTTACAAGGTCCCCAAAACTATCACTGCAGTCGCATCCAATAAATGTTAGTTAGGGACTTACAATACTACACTGAATCCTGAAACTTAAAAACCAGTTACTTAATGTAAAAAATACAATGTAACATCATTCTATATATATGAAGAAAGTTTGTCAATGTAACCTGACAAAAAATAATTGTTTCTGTGAATTACAGTTCACATTGTTTTCTTAATACAGAAGCTTGAAGGTCAATCACTATGAAAAATGGTTCTATGCATTACCCCTACAACTACAGTACTCACATTATCCGAGTGTTAACATTTATATTAATTCTAGGCTTCAGTACCAGATGGCTTCAGCTGCTGCACACAAAGACATCATTTTGGAAGTTCATCAAAATATAAATCACTAATATAGAAAAAGTCTCCAGACAAGGATGTAAATACCAACTTACCTGAAGTATGTAGTCTTTACCCTGTAGGGTGAACATCTGGTTGTCAATCATGAAGGAAATAGGAGGCAGACTTGATATCTTGTCACAATCAACAGTGTACTAAAATGTATATAAAATAAACCACATGATGTATCTGTATTGTTGTGTTTCCAATAAATCACATATCTAAACAACAGCTCTTTAATTTCTATCACTCTTTGTACAGACTTTAATCAGATATTGTTAATATTAAGCTGTCTTACCCATGTATTCAGATTTTACCGTGTGGATTTAACATGAGATGAATGCTCCATAAAAACAAGTTTATTGAACACAAAATTTTAAAAAAAGGGCATAATTATGTCACCAAGGGATTTCGGGTCCTGAATTCGGTATACAGCTCATCCTCTTATCATGATCAATGTATACAAGTTTCATTATTCTAGTTTAAATGAAAGCAAAGTTATGCTCCAGACAAATCATTTTAACAAAAGGCAACAATTCAGCAACTATGTGCCCCATAAAAACCTTTTGGAGTGCATTAAAATATCAAGCTCTATACATTGCTATGGTCATCTCAAGACTTACCTCCCCTGCGGCCAATGGGGTGGCGCCAATTTGTTTGTTGAGTTCCTTGACCTCTGATGTGGGGCCTGCTAACAGGGAGGTTCCTGTGTCAGCAATAGCACTGCAGCCTCCTTTACAGTAAGATGAGGGCTTGCCATTTACCTGAATACTATGGAGACCACAATAGGTTTTTATTACTCCTAATATTACATCCTGGGATATTGAAAGTCAATTATTACTACATGTCAGGCTTGCCAAGGAAAGCATCTCTGTTTACAGAAAATCTGGGGAAACAGTACAGGATTGATTAAGGTTTCATTGATTGAGAAAAGAAAAGCTTTTTGTAAGTATCAACTGGCAAAATGACATTGAAACATAGACTGCCCTGATACTATTTTTAAATGCCCGGTAACTAAAGATGCCCTACAAGCAGTTTGTTCTTTTCGAACTAGTTACTTACCCAGCCATGTCAAACTGCCAGTAGCCTTTCTTGGTGATTGGAGCATAAGAAAAGTTACCAGAGTAATGTTTAGGATCACTGCCTCCCAAGATCAGCTCACCACCTTCTGATGCACCTGGGTTTCTGTTAACAGAAGTTGTACAGAATCACATAGGAAGTAGACTTGCTGCACATCTTTATTACAGTTTTCAAACATGAGTATGAAGTGTTCTTGCATCACCTATGTATTCCTTTTTGGTTTTGTCAATCTTTTGATCCAGTGTTAATAGAATTCTGCCTTAAAATACTCCAATTTCAAATGCTTTTGTTTTCTCATTTCTTGACAGTCGTGCTAAATTATATCACAATTGTGCTCATCTTCATATTTTCTTTTTCCAGTCTAAAGTGTTACAATAAGCATTATCATGATCTCTAAGATTGTTCAGATGTTTTAATGACTAATGACTTAGATGGTCACACATTTTACCTGTCAAGGTAGAAGGAGAAGACAGAGCTGTCAACAAGCTTCTGCTGTACCATGTTGTAAAAGACTGGCATCACATGGTCTACAGAGATGGTGTCGTAACCCATTCCTAGGATTCCATCAAACTTTGCAGCTACGAAAGTAATACCTGGTTGTGTAATGGCCTCAGCAAAGGTCTGACCCTTGACAGTTATGTCTCCAATCTGAAAAAATTTCATCATATTTTCATACCAACATAGTTGACAGTATTAGTTGTAGTACATTTGTGGTATCAGTAGTTGTAGGATTTCCTTTCAAACTGACACAACATGTAGAAAGAGATTTAATGAAGTGCTGTTACATTACTGGATCACAACAGAAAAATCAATGTAACAATGTGTGCATATTGCCAAAATGGAGATTCTCTAGTGCTGTTTATGACTTGATATTGACAATGATGTTGACAACACTTATAGTGTCTTCTCCAATGGTGTAGTTCATTTCATATCTGAAAAAAAATTGTTCTAATACTTCAGCAATAGACATCAACACCAGAAATTCTTTCACAATTTATAATTTATGGGAGTGTGGGTTGTATTAGTAAGCCTTATTTTTCCCGAAACTTTTGTTATGAAGTTGTAAGAAAGAAAAATCTAAAGAATATATTTTCAACATTTCAGTATTGTGACAAACATGAAAAAGATTACTCTGAAAACCTACCGTCACAGAGTCTGTACTGAGAAATCCTGTGAGACTGCCTGTGCCATAACGGATCTCAAAATTTGTACCATTAGCCTTGTAAGTGCTAGATTTGGTGCTGTCATATTTGTGGTGAAGTACTATAAGGCAAAGAAACAGCTGTATAAAAAATTTATGGCTCATAAAAAGTAAATTTTCATATAAATTTATCAACCAAAACAATTAATGTTCTGCAGGTCACATAAACAGGAATTTTTGTTATAGGACAGTTACCTTAATTACAAGTAAATCATACATTAAGTACATGTACTTTAAAATAAGATGGACATTTTTCATAATAAATTTTATGAAAATAGATTTACAATAATTTTAAGCTATTCATTACGTCACATTCAGTAATACAGTCAATACCTCAACAAATCTAGACAGGTACATGAAAACTTAATTTCATTATTAGGATGTGTTTGCTATCAAACTTACAACAAGCTATGTCAGTGATATGGCACTTCTTGGATGGAACCCAGAGATTTGAAGAACCAGTGTCAAATACCACCTGGAAGGACTGGGGTGGTGTCCCAATTGTGATGTTTCCATAATACTGGGCCTACAAATAAACAATTTAACATGAAACCAAAAACTTTACAGTTCAAGATTTCAAAATATCTCGTTACTTTGCCTTTTTTTCAACCTTTCAATACATCTTCCTTATTTTCATTTCTTTTGTTGTGTATTATTTTATTTCTTCCTCCATAAAAATCTTATTCTACTTTGCCTTTTTTTCAACCTTTAAATGTGTCTTCCTTATTTTTGTTTCTTTTTGTTGTGTATTTTTTTTATTTCTTCCTCCAAAAAAATCTGGTAACAGACTGAACAACCCTTTGATAAACACAGAAGTATCACATCGTGAGTTATATAGTAACACACAAAGAGACCATGTTTCATAATTACCAGGTATTACTTAAGCTTACAAATTTCCAATCACTGGTAAAATGTTAGTTTAAACAACATTTTTATCCAATATTCAACAATTTAATGCATACATATGATAAGTATGGGATGGGAAAATAAGCTTAGAGCCTATATTAATTCCTCTGCAAAATGGTTTAAAACAATAAATATCTTCCCTACTTAACAATTGCTGTGGGCCTGTCCACTAAAACAAAGGTTATATGGCTTTTAGGAGCATTTCTGAGTGACTATTGTCATTTATGGCAACAATGTCACATTATTTCAAGATAATTTTGTATCAACTTGGCTTACACATACAGTTTTGAACACATTGTGTATGTCAGTGTCTTACATCCATATAGTTGGATAAAGGTTCTGGGTCTGGTCCACGCAGACGTCCATCCCTGCCTAATAAGCCAGCATAGCGATTCTTCAGGAGATTAATACTTGTCCCAACCTCTTGTAGAGTTCGTCTCACACTCTTGACTTTGTGAAGCTTGATTCTGAAAGTGATACGAGAAAGAAAACCTCTTTGATTATGTATTGGATATAAAACCCACATAAACAAAATTTGGAGGGCATTAGTCATAAAGATGAGTACTTCAAAATGCTTTCCCAGTCCAAATGATTTGGCTCCCATCCTTACATGGGAGGTGAAAAGGAGAGAAACAATTTCATTACAAAATGAACATATTAATTATGCCATCCCTGGTTCTGGCCCAAACCTGTACAAGGATTACAGTGATGCATTTTATATCTTAAGAAAATTTAAAAACAAAAATACACAATTTCACCTCCACTGAATTGCAGACTAATATGCCAACTAGTGTTATTTCCGATAAAAACAATTCTATTTTGTATTCGTTCATTTTCCATCTGTGACTTTCTTTTCAATCGCTGTTTTGTGACAATACCATTTATTTTGCATCAGTCTGTTGATTTTGGTTTTATGACATAATGTACACTGTTTGTCTAAACAATAATCTCTGTATGTTTTGTATATTAAAATGTTCAAAAAATTAAATGTTCTTTTTTAAATCATTTTTGTTTCACCCCTTTCAACACCCATACCTTTATATAAAGAACTTAAGACAAAAGAACAGTTAGACGTTCTATCAATAATAATTTAATCTATAAAAAATAACCACTATATCGTATGCTTTGAGATACGATAATAAAAACTGCATGTCATGCAAATCTTTAAACAAAAGCTGATAAGCTGTAACGTATATACCGAGTCGGTATTAAAATTGTAGTTCGTGCCCCTGTGATCTGATCTGCTGATTGAAAGAGATGCATCCAAATATATGTCCAGACGATACCATTTGCATGTGTCTGTAATCAAATCTGTCGATCGACATCGCTGCCTCTTGTTAATGCGAATCTGTATAATGGTATCTTACCTATGCAGTGCAGAACTGCACACTATCACAGCCAACAAAGCGAAAATACCCAACACCTTCATCTTCAGATTCTGTGTGCGAATTACACACTAAGGTACGCAGAATATATAGCCTCTGGCCCTGAACAAGTACGCGGTCGAAACAGTGGTATATAATAGCTTTCGGTGTCTTACATACACATAAACAGGGCCTAACGTTGGTCACGAGATTTGTCATATGACACACACGCTGTGTGACGAGTACAGTAGAAGTGAATACCCTTAGTCAGTGATACTGAGATTGATATTATGTAGCAAATGAGTGTCATGCACAGCATTGGCCAGAGATGCACTTATAAATGATGTGTCATGTCACTTTAGACCATACTTTTTTTTTTCATTTTTCAACATTTTAAACTAGGATTGAATACATTACACCTCATCTTCGCATTGTAATTACATACAGTCTAAGGGAGATCACTCGCATACGGAATATCAAAATCCTCATAATCTGCAACAACAAAAGTATTTAAGAAATGTTTCGAAAATAATGACATCGGAGAGCATGAACTTTACCAGCACGCTTCCTCCATGGCCAGTCAACAGTGCTTTTGTTTCATCAATAGTACTTCCGAGTTTCATGATGACCTGGTATGGTTTAACCACAAAGCATCACCTTTAGAAATCACTAAAACTATAGTTTGCCTCTAATTTAAAATACAAACACCTTTTAAACCAAAGCTAGTAGACAGTCCTCTCTGCAATCTCTGTAACTCTGAAAAGGGGACTTAAAAATGTATTTTGGGAATATGATAAAATATAATACGTCTATCTGCTGCACAATTTATCTCGTAACCCGCAACCAGCCACTCCGCCTTCCCTCAGTTCTCATCCTTAAACCCCCTTTTCAATCGTGTAGACTACTCACTTTTTTCCTTGTTCTTATTTTTATTTCTGTTCTTCTTTGTCACCTCCATGTTGTATATATACCAAATTTCTTTATTTCAACTTATCCTAATCACTCTTGATGTAAGCGCGCGAGGGTAAGTGTGGGAGAAAAACAGAGAATCTGGAAAAAACTGTCCGTTCAGACATCGATGATGCATTTGATGAAGAAGAAGATGATGATGATGACATAACACAACGGTTTTTGCAGGTGTGTCGGATTTGTCTTGTTTAATGAATATTTTAAAATCTCGAAAATACACATACTTCAGTGAATTAGTAATGAATCGAAATGTGCATGTTGTTTATCAATTTGAGCTCGTTTTTAGACAGTGTCTATTTCATATAATTGGTTGGCGTTATACGGGGAGTACTTGTAGGAAAAAAACCCATTTTAAATCATGTCAATTTCACCGTTGTAAAATAATATTTACGTTTAGAAAAAATAAAAGAAAAGTACACAAATTCAAGAAAGCGAAAATGCTATCATAGTATTTTGATTCATATTAGAGTAAAGTGCAGAGCACCTATGCTCCATGCCTTTCACTTTCGGAGGTTTTTTTCTCGGATGTATAAAGTCCCGAAATCGCGTCCTGGACGTGAACAAAACGAGTTCTTCATGTTGCCTGTATAGAGCTTCGCTTTTAATATATTCACCTAAATCACAAATGTCATATGCTTTATTATCTTAGAAGAAAAGCGTTATACCACCGCAGACTATCACACAATCATTGGCAAGTTAGTTCTACAAATAGTATTTGATATAGCACATCACAGAACAAAAGCTATTTTTAAACTTTTAGAATAACATAACTCTTACTTATACCTTTATTCAAGAAGGGTCATAGGCATCTTTCAATAAATAATTGATCCATATCGTTGTTGTCCGTCATCTGAAAGAGCTTATTTCAAAATTATATTTATCTATTTTTTTATGGAAAAGCCCCCGCGGATGGTAGATAAACAGAAAAAAATAAACACAAATAAACACACATACACACTTGAAATCGAAACTAAAAGATCATATAAATTGTAGGTATAGAACGAACTCTTTACTTCTGATCTATCGAATGGTTAGAATTATTCTTGTCTACAAAATATACCATCAACTTATTGTTATGTAGCTACAGGCGATTTTTCGTGTATTTCAGTATCTATTTATTGTCTTTGTGTAAGTTGATCACACGGTTGTCTTGATATTCAGTGAATGTATTTTTGTGTATTAAGAGTTTTTCCGCTTTGTTGTTTACAGGTGTGTAAACTTATTTTTTACCAACAACTGAAATGATGCGCGGTATACGGAATACAGGTACACATTAAGTTACTTTAGGTAATGAAATGACGTCACATGTAACGTTACAATGGAGACAATAGATAGTGAGCGAGCATAACTTCAAATTTTTACGTAGAAATGTCCGTTTTCTTCTATTTTTTTCAGAAAAAAATTATCATGTGCTAATCAGGATCTTAAATTCGTCTCCATTTGATATGTGATTTATGATTTTTTTTTTCATTTTAAGTCACCCAAGACTTGCTAACAATAAACAGAAATCACAGACTTGTTTCACAAACTATATATAAAACGAAAACTCATGCAAAAAGTTTATACACATGTTTTAGATAAATGAAAGGTCTCTGTCCAGTTCACTTAAAAGTGTCGCTACTGCTTGAATTGGACATCGTGCTTCCAGTTCACGTGATAAATGTTTATATATAATCACTTTAATTTTGAATTGACCAGATGTGTTTCCGTGAATTCTGATTGTCCGAACTGACATCAGGAAAAAAATTTTAATGCTGACAATACTTTGAAAAGTGATAGGAAGTAGTTCTTTGTTGTTTTCAATGTCATGATTGATTAAATGTTAGTTTTTATCTAAATTTGGCATTCAGCACTGTCTGTTATGAATGTGTAAGACGAAACGAATAACTATGTTATAAATATATTTGAATAACTCTGAAAATGATGGAAAAGTACAAGTCTTCTACATGATTCCCTAACGAAGAGCCAGGCATGATTTCATCTCTTATTTTTATATCGAAACTTTTTTTTCACGGCTGTACTTCTGCAAGTACATAAATTTGCACTCAACATCTCTGAAAACATATGGCAAAGACTTCCTTGAAATGGTAAATATATATATATGTTTTATTTCATCCACTGCATCATTGCTGAATTTGTCATGTGTTACACAGAAGTAAAAGAATCCGACTTCAATATTGGTCATGGATACATTTTCAATTGGTGCTATATTGCGGCGTTAATGGATAAGACGATTTAATATAAACAGAGTGTGAGGCTAAAGAATGACGCCCTCGTGAGTAGGAAGGAAAACTGTGAATAACGAGCAAAGATAACGAGCCTAGTCTCTGGAATGAAGTAGGACTGTAGACAGCAAGCGAAGTCTGTAGACTGAAGCAAGGCTGTAACTAACGAGCGAAGTCTTTGGAATGAAGTAGGACTGTAGACAGCAAGCGAAGTCTGTAGACTGAAGCAAGGCTGTAACTAACGAGCGAAGTCTTTGGAATGAAGTAGGACTGTAGACAGCAAGCGAAGTCTGTAGACTGAAGCAAGGCTGTAACTAACGAGCGAAGTCTTTGGAATGAAGTAGGACTGTAGACAGCAAGCGAAGTCTGTAGACTGAAGCAAGGCTGTAACTAACGAGCGAAGTATTTGGAATGAAGTAGGACTGTAGACAGCAAGCGAAGTCTGGAGACTGAAGCAAGGCTGTAACTAACGAGCGAAGTCTTTGGAACATGAAGATAAATTGTTTTAATTGGTGTCATTATATGCTCATTTTTTGTATCATATTTCTATTGTATATAAGCGATAATTGTCTCTAGACTCTGTCATAATCAAAGACCGAGAGCATCTTCGGAATGACATCACAATTTCAGGTTATAGAGATCTGACAACTCGAGTTTTTAAGACATCAATGTGAAAGAATCTGTACCCTGTGATATGTATTAGTTAATAGTCATTTTGTAAGTTAATCATGCACCTTTTCACACTCATATGTCCTTTGTTAGTAATTACGGAGATAATCTGATTATGTACTAGAAAAAGTAGTAGTGTCGTTAAGAGTTCATATAGACAAGCACCAAGAACAGTCAGCATGAGAAACGGAAACCCTGTATAGTCCACTGAGCTGCTGAATGGCATTTATGAACATCATGGCTACAGTTCGCTGAGCTTCTTCACAGCGGCTGCTGTATCGGCCCTGGAGAGGTTCTCGGCATAATATCTGTACACTGCTGTTATTTTCTTATCATCTGCAATCGTAGGGACGACACTTGGATGCGAGTGACAGGCTTCCATCCATTTATGGAATTTCCTGTACCGGTCATTGTTTGGAACTTCAAAATCACGGTAGTGCTTTAACACGGGGCCGAATCGGAGGGTAAATGGACACAACATCATGTCCACCATCCCAAAGGTCTTACCACTGAAAAAGGGGCCTTCGTCGCTAATGGCGTCGGAAAACTTGGCCAAATCCTCTAACAGTGCCAATTTTATCTTTTCTTGTGGTTCCTTTTCCTGGGCAGCCAACATCTTGTAGAAAGGCGGTACAAGTTTTGAGGAAATGAATTCGCTCCATATCCGGACTTGTGCCTTATCGTATGGATCTTGTGGTAGGATCTGTTTGCCCTCCGACTTGAGCTCGTCCACGTACTGTATGCAAACGCCCGACTCAAAGATAGAGGTTCCGTCCTCCCGCACAATAACCGGCACCAGGCCGTTAGGGTTTACAGCCATAAGTTGAGGGGGCTTTTCGTAAGGGTTGATCTCCACGTAGTCGAACGGCAGTCCCTTCTCAATGAAAGCTATCCATGCCCTCTGAGCAAAGGGACAAAACCAGGCACAATATAACTTAAGATTGGGCATTATCTGTATAAAAAGAAAGAAAAGAAACTTGTATTTTATATTCATTGTTAAACTTTATCATCGATACACATGAATAACTGTTGTTAACTCCGGGAGAATCTTAAATCATATCATTATTATTATATTGAATTAATGAAATTAGTTCACCTTCCTATCTATACTCTAGCATTTCTTTAAGTAAATTTTGAGTTTTCAAAGTTGCCTCATATAGATCTCATCATCTAATGTCCCTAATATGAAAGTTTGGAAAGACCTGCCGATCGCCAGTTTTCATGGTATTGTTACAGTAAACGACAGTTTTGAACAACCGTACACTATTGTACTCCATCTAACACCGCCCATATACTCAACCAGGATTATTTTATAGAGGGCTAACAAAAGTCGCGTTCACATAATATTTACTAATGGTGAAAATGGAAATTAACATACAAGTAACATCCCAGTCTTCCTAGCCATAACAGGGAGTAAACGGACGGTCTGTCTGTCGATTTATGGGGATAAGATTTGCAGGATTTTTCGACGAAGTCTTCGTTCTATCGCTTAGCGATATTTAATGCGATTTCAACCTTCAACCGACAGGATACGCTTAATAAAGAGGATATCACGGACTTCCGTGATTATACACCCACAAAGTCTCCCTATAGTGTACCGAGTGTATTACAAAATACACTATAGATTGGTGACTCTGGGCCATTCCATATAGTGTACTCTTGGTCCTCGACACGGAACAGTATTACACGGGGTGTTTTGTCACTCCGGCCGTAGACTTAGAACCACCACTTATAAGTGGTTGTCGATTAAAAGTTCTAATTATTCACCTGTGACAGATAACTCTTTATTTCTAACACGAGTGTTCTACGCGTTATTATCATGTCTCTATTTATCTTTAAAACATCAGTCAACCTTCAATATAATGTAGTCGTGTGAGGATTACAATGACAATGTCTGACCATATAGTAAACAGTTGCAGCCGTTCTCAATAAATCGCATTACTTACCGCTCTGTAACTGGTGTAGTCGCTGGTACTCCGTGTTCCGTGTACATCTATACCTACACTGACACACGGCAAATTCGCCCCTCCGATGAAATGGCCCGACACTGTTTAAATAGCTAGCACTTCACACTAACAGGTCGGCACTTTACGTGTATGCTATTTAGCTAAAACATGAACATTAAGTGACACGTTAGAAACAACAGTCCCCTGAGAATTGAACGTCATATAAATGTAAAATACATCATAAAATTTCCTCGATAAAGCTTGATTTTCATTTTATTATTATGTTGTTTTTTCAAAATCAAAACTTCACATACGTATGATTAAAAATAATGCTAGATTATTCATTCATATCTTTATTCCTCCAAAGTTTTTAATATGTCGAGTTATGAAAGACATCGAGAAAACAAATATGATTGACATAGTTAGAAACATACAGGACATAGATGAATGTTACTTAAGGAAATAAGTATAGGGAATTAAGTATGAAACATAACGTATAAAAGATAGTTAGAGACATACATGGAAATACTACAGAATATACAAAGCTAGAATGTCACGTAATGCGAGTTAAATTGACAGATAAACAATATATATCATGTATTTGGCTTTAATCACTACAAAGTTATCTCCTTAAGTAGCGTAAGAAAGGATTTAAGAATTTAAACCTCTTTACACTTGTTAACATATACCCTGACTGGATAATCAATGACAATTTTGGAAGAAATAAAAACAATATGTAATGGAACACTATGCCCGGATGCAGCAAAATTCTGAAGTTGGACATGAACATTGCACTGTGTAAATATGATCAGTTGGAATTCGGTTGAAATAAATTTCCCTATGTTATGTGTTGCCAATTCATACCGCGTGTTACCTGTACATGTCATTCAAGCGACACAAACTAGCGGCAGACAGACGTGATATATTATGCTGACGCTGCTTCACATCCTCTTTATCTGAAGTAGATACCAATCACTTGTTTATGGACATTGACTCAATAGATATTAAATTTGAGGACAGACTGCTAAATAACGTAAATGTTCAGTGCTACCTTTGTATACACATTTATTATAATAATGGACAAGTTTAATCCTTGTAGGAATTTTATTCCTTGTCAATGACATTTTGTGGTGTAAAATGGACATAGACTCCTAGAACTGTGGACTACCGTTACAAATGTGTTAAAAGATATTTAGTGGTATGAGAGATTGATCATAATATACATGTATATTGAACATGTATATTGTAATATCATTGGCATTTAAAACTCATTCATATTTCATGTTATTTCTTTGTTAACTACTAACTAGTATTTAATTAAGATGTTAAAATTTAAGGTTTGATGTTGACTGTCAATATTTTATTACTATTCTTAATATACATATTAGTATCATGAAAATGATTCCACAGGTAAGTTGTTACCTGAGAATCGGTCACTTTCCAAAAACAGCCCATGGCCTAACCTGTGTAACATTTTTTCTCTGGTTCTTTTCCACAGATGTGAATAGTACAAATGTCCAGAAACAGTATGATGAAGGATGATATTTATTTACACATGTATCAAATACATTCTCACAATTTTTTAATCGCTATTGCATCACAAAGAGGTATCTTTCAATTCCCTTTAATTACTCCTAAATCACTTACCAGATACAAATAGTTGATTTTGTAGTTTGCTCTGTATGGATTGATCTTCATTCTTACCTTTAAATATTAAACACTAAACTCGTCGTCTTGCCTAGAATCATCTTCAAAGTTTACCCTGTGTTTCTTTATCCCATGAGTATAATATTCTATCAAAACCATTATGCTCAACATTTTTACATTCATTACAACATTCACATGCTGGATCATCAATAATGTTAACTCTGTACAAATCATATTTGAAGCTACTGCAAGCATGGAAAACGTTCAATTATCTATTTTCAATATTATGATAAATAGATGATAAATCAGGATTGTATTGAATTTTTAAACAGTTGATGGATACGAGTTAGTGTTTCGGCAGATAGACTAATATTGCGAATAAGACGAGAAATCAACATAATTATCTCGACAAGCCATGTCCTGTCACCATAATGAGACCTCAAATAACACGATGGCAGAAATGTGCCACCATAGAAAGGAGTAAGATTATGATGAAGTTTTTACATAAGTGAAAGTTTTTTTTAAAGTTTCGTTCTTTCCGATAATGGTTGTACAATGTAGTTGGATATTTTATATAAGGATTGTTTACTTGAGAAAGAAGGCATGCTTGTAATAATTCTAGCTGTTTCAAGGAACACCTGTTCCGACTTGTAAGTTACGTCTATCAGAGAACAACCATCCCATAATTTAAGCATATTCTAAAACGTTTTTCTACTCATTAAAAATCTTAATTTTCTTGATACCGATATTTCTTTGTCACGTTTTTTGAATTTCTGTAATATGTTGCCGTCCTGATATGTTTTTCAATCAATTTAAAAGACTCTCTCTAATACCATACTCCTCTAATTTAATGAATAGATCCCTATGCCATAGTCAAAAGCTTTTGATATATATATACTAAAAGGATAAAGAGACGCAGGTTGAACTTTAAACCAGAAATTTAGTTTGATATCGGGCTTCATTTAAAACGAAATTTTGTATACTTACAGATAAATTAAAGCTTAAAAATTTCCAAAGTCTGTATTTTGCATCTGACAATTGGTTTAGAGGTACTAACGATTAAATTGAATGGACCCATAGGATTTTGAAATTGAAATTGAACTGAGTCATCAATATCTTGTGTGTCCGCCGTTTGATGTGGTCACGGCCCTTATTCTTCTGGTCATAGAGTTGATGAGAGGGTTAATCCTTCTGATGGGGATGTTGTCCCACTCTTCAATCAGAGCTCTGGTCAACTGCTCTCGAGTAGCAGGGGGTGGCTGGCGCTTTCGAACCTGTCTATCCAACTGGTCCCAAAGATGCTCGATCGGGGACAAATCAGGGCTATATGGCGGCCAATCTAGTGGTTGAATGTTGTTGTTGGCCAGAAAGACTTGGCAAATCCTTGCTACGTGGGGCCTAGCATTATCCTGCTGGAGGGTTAGATTATGCTTCTGTAAGAAAGGGATAACATGGGGTCGGAGGATCTCATCTCTATACTTAGCTGCTGTTAAAGCCCCAATATACGTAAAAATCACTATAAAAACAAACTTTATCTTATTTCCCCCATAATGTATGTAACAAAACAAATACTTTCCTTTAATTAAAGAAAATAAAACTGACTGTTTTCAATTTAAATAAAAATTGAAAAAAATGGAAAATAAACAATGTGGGACCCACAATAATTCATACAATACCGCTCGTAGCGATGACATTGCGCATGCGCATATTCCGCGTATGTAAACATGGCAGACACAGTACAGACGTTCACCAGTCGCTTCCTTTTTTTTCCAATCATACATCAGGCCACTTCTGAATTTTTACGTTATAATTGTGCGTCGTATCGTTTCTAAACTACTTATTCCTTCTAATAATTTCCCTAAAACTGAATGTTTATCACAGGAATACCTCAAGTCTACGACAAGACTTCGCAAACAATGTTTGTAAACAAAATCTTACCGTAGACATATCTGCATGTGCTTCCTCTATAAGTAGAAACCTCAACTCTCGCGAGATCAGGTCATGAACTTTCCGACGTGGTTCGGCAACAATCGTAATTTCGATGGCGGCGTGTTTAAAATGGAGGTGTGTTTACAAATAGCGAGTTTCAACTGCTCATATATCAATACTTTATGCACAAAGGCATGGTAACTATTGTTTGAATAACTTAATTCTAACTACATCTTAGATAATATCTCAATAATTATGTGTGATTCTACACTAAATTTTTGGTGAATGTTACGTATATTGGGGCTTTAAATTGCCACCAATAACAACCAATTGTCCGTAAAACGTTCGCCACGACGTCGGTAGACACGTTGACGGGCCGTCAGATCGATAAAGACAGAATCGAGACTCGTCCGTGAAGAAAACTTGTCTCCACTGCCTCAGTGGAAACCGCCGTGGAGCATGTGCAGCGACCCATGCCATACGACGCTGATGTCGAGCAGGGGAAAGGTGTGGACCTACGTAGGGGCGACGTTCGCTTACATCAACTTCTCGTAATCGATTCCTTACAGTTTTTGAAGTTATAGGACGCCCATGATTTCCATGAACATTAAGTGCACTCTCAACGACAGTAAGGCGCCGATTACGCACATGAGAGACGACGATATAGCGATCCTGACGTCGTGACGTTACGCGCGGACGTCCTGACCTAGGTCGATCGGCCAATCGCCCAGTTTCCCGAAGACGTCTTACAAGACGTTCTATGGTGGAAACATTAACACCAAAGTGCCTTGCAACCTGATTTTGCAGCTGTCCTTTCATCAGCATCTGAATGGCCTGACCCCTCTGAACTTCTGTGAGTCGTGCCATTCTTAAAACAAATCAAATTCTCAATAAATTTTAAGGAAGCAGTTGGTCTGTATAAAGACTAACGAAGAGTGACTTGACCAACGCTGCATGAGACCAGAACAACACGGTGCACGAGATTCTTGTTTTTTCCTTCCTCCATTTACCAGAGCTGCGCACTGTACCGTGACTAAATTTTCGATACATGACAAGGCGTAATATGACCTAATTACTCAATCCACAAAGTTTCACTTTATTTGGAGAACGCGTTTTCAAAATATCGGAGTAAATATTACCCTGTGTTTCTTTATCCTTTCAGTATATATATGTGTATATAATAAGAATGTTGTGGGATTTGTTTGTCTTCGAGATAACAACATATACTATGGTATATATCAATTAATGGATGCACTGTAGAATGATTTAACATCAAACCAGATTACTTCTCATAAATATGGAGGTATCAGGAAAATATCTAAATATACTTGAATATAACATTTTCGAAAACTTAACCGATAAAAGAAAATAATTGAAGTGGTTGATAATTGGACACCAGATGTCTGTCTCCCTTTTTAAACAAAGATAGAACCAACTTCATCTTTACGTCTACATTGGTCCCTAGTTGTGCATGGCCCCTTTTGAGGCTGATAAACAAAATGCCCGACAGACGGCCAAATTGGGTTTTGACAGTAAAAAATTGCTATTGATTTCTAGAGAAGTTTAGAATGGATCTTTCCCAAACATCAAATTTGGCTCCGTTTATTCCTTGTTGTAGCAGTTCGATTTTCGTACCGATCGGGAATTTAAAATGGCTGAAAGTCGGTCATCTTTGATTTTAATTGAAAAATTGACATCGCTATTTTTCGAGAAGGACTGGATGGATCTTTCTCAGATTTCATATGTGGGTACCCTTTGGTCGTTGGATCTGCTCTTTAGATTTTGAGATTGATCAGAAAAATAAAATGACAGGCGTCCATCTTGCATTCATCCTCGATACTCTAGGAGTCAGTTACTTTCGCACTCTGCACCCCTGGAACACATCATGGCAAAATTGAAGGTTCAATGTGCGACACTTCGTGGAGATAACTTGTTTGATCCATCGATGCAGCAAATGAATATCTAGGTCGCATAACGGTATATTGTAATGACTTTGAAATTGGGTGTCGCTCCTTTGTAATCTTAAAAAGGGGCTTGTCAGCCTGTGATTGGTCAGTATATTTCTCATGGAACCAATCAAATTACCTCAGTTTTCCCTTCTATTTGCCATAACATATCCCAGGGGCGCAGAGAGCGAAAGTGATCGTAACCCCTGGATTATCGATGATGTCTTTGATTACGACTTTAAATTTGTAATCTCCAATTTCTTGGAAAGTACCGGGCAGATTTGTCAAAAATATCATGTGTAGATTTCTCGTGATATTTTGTTGTATGAATGCAAACTAGCCTAATCGTAAAAACAGAATGGTACATGGTCATCTTGTTCGTTGCCGCCATTTCTTGAGGTGTACTGGTTGGATCTGTCTCAGATTTGATATGAATGCCCGGCAGGCGGCCATCTCAGATTTTGACAATGGAAGTTTGTTATCGTTATTTCTTTAGAAGTACTGGATGAGTATCTTAAATTTTAAATGTATGGTTCGCTTGGTCTTTCTTTGTACAGTTTTCGTTTCAGGAAAAAACAAAATATTAACAATCATCTGATCTGATCTGACAATTGAAGATCATTATTGTTTTCTCTAGAGATGTTTTCTCCAATTCATATAATTAGACGGGAAAACATCAAACTTTCAAGGTAATAGTGAAGATTAAACAATAGCGGGCGCAAAGACCAGCCTTAGATCTCTTGTTTAAGATGTTTGAAGGATAAATATGATGCAGGTGCATGATAGATGCTTCAAAAAGGCATAAGCCTGCTTGCCCTTCCCACAAGTGAGCTAAACTTTTCGAAAATTGAAATACGTATTGGTTTTGTAGATAAATTTACTGCTTTAAAGTCATTTGTGATATAGCACCATATGATATCAACGATAACTATTAAAGGCACATGGAGACATGCAATAACTGATAATTAATGTAGGGGTCGCTGCCTTCACATTGATGGTCCTGTTAGACTAAAATCATCATTTTGATAAGTACTGTATTTCTTACATAGTGGGTGTGACTTTCACACTCTAAAGAACACACCCTTTACAAAGTTCATAAGGGATAGCTGATCGAAAAAAACCACAACAGACTGCATTTAATGAATCATTTAAATTTTATTTTGATTTGAATTATTTCCTTCCTACTGCCGTCACTCCGTGAAAGTACTTGAGAAGCCCACTGCTGTTCCATCAATGGCAGGTAACAGGATCAGATGCCATAGAGCTTGGTCAAACAACACTACAACACAATCAGGGGTAGATCAGTCGGGAGGCACAGTTTTGATAGATTTATAGTTTTGTCATAACGACAGTGGAACATAAACAGGTTCAGAGGGCCTCAATATGACAAAATGGGTCACAAACAGGTGAAGATAAGTCTGAGGGAATAGCTTTGATTAAGTATTTTCACAACATCAATGTAGCACAAACAGGGGCAGGTAAGTCAGGAAGAACAGTTTTGATGGAGTCTTGTCGTAATGACAATGGAACATAAACTGGGGCAGATAAGTCAGGAGGAGTATCTTTCATTCTTCCTTGTCATACAACAATGGAACATGAACACGATTATAATCAAAGTCATTGGTTTATCTTATATTTACATATCATATGAACACTGTATTTGTATCTGATGGAAACTTCACTGCATCAAATGAAAAAACCATACCTATCAAAATAAACACTTCATATAGCACCAGATGCCATACTCAATCGTTCAATTCCAAAATCATCCATTTATATGTCAATTATAATTTAATGTTCAGGGCATTTTGCTTTCTGCTTACAAAACAAAAGATATAGTTTTGATTACATACGTATGTCCCTCTCATTCAGGTTGAGGTTAAAGATCTGACAGAAAGTCTGGCAGTTGTCTCGAGGTTGCAGTACAGCCTTCCTTTTCCCACTTGCCTGGATATACAGAGCCAGAGGAAATTTCCCTCGTGGCTGATAAATAAAACTTCATGAATTTAACATTTCATATCATAAGTGTATGTATATAAGGTATTTTGGCACCTAATCAGCTTTGTTAAACTCGCCTACTTTTAAGCATGGAAAATTAGAAAGTTCACATGATACAATTTGAATTGACAGATTATGCTGCAAAAGGTAAAATCTTCATTATTCCAATTTCATGTTTCTATCACATTTATACACAGAAACCATTCATTATGTCACATTCAGTTGTATATGTACGTCTATAGAGCAATGAAAAGGCTACAAATTCTCCAATACATTTAACAAAACGAAAGAAATGGTAACATAAATTCTTTGAAAATTGAGAATGTCCTATGCATTGAGAATGGAAAACCAATAATTTTTATACAACTTACCAACTGGTAGTGATGTGATGATGGACCATCAAGATACAGTACTTTTTCTACAGCGATTTCTGTATTCACTGGTATTATAGCTGGACGAGGGAACAACTTTCTAAGAAGGTTGCTGCTTTGAACTCCCTTTGAATACCTATGAGAGGCACAGAATGTACATGTACAGTGTAAAAGGTATCACACCTAATGAAATGAATAACAGCCTCATAGAGTTAAGACAAGAGTTCCTCAGAACTGTATGTGTCGCCTGAATAAAGTGTCACGGTCACCCAGAAATTGAGCTGAATGTGCAATGTTCAACTATAAAGTTGTAATACCACATTTCATTTCTATAACTCGAAGCATAAAGGGAAAACTGCGCAAAGCAATATTCCTGAGAAATTTTCCAAGTTCAAAGGGAAATATCACTGCCAAGAAAGCCATGAATCGAACCTTATCTGTAATGTTCGACCATGAAGCTATTTCTCATATTTCATTTCAAAAACCATATTCTTGAAGAATTTTCGAAGAGGCATAACTTTGCAAAGAAGGGTTACAGACAGCCAAGAATCAAAAGTAATCTGTACCTTTCCAACAAGAAGCCATATACCAAATTTCATTTCAACAACTCGAAGCGTAAGCAAAGAGAGTCCAGAAAACAATATTCCCAGAGAATTTTCTAAGTTCAAAGGGACATTACTCTGCCAAGAAGGGTCATAGACAGCCGGAAATCAAACCAAATTTGTACCCTTCCAACAAGAAGCCATATACTAAATTTCATTTTGAAAACTCAAAGCACAGCCGAAAAAAGTTTGGAGAACTTTTATAAGGACGCCATCGACATGCGAGACGGACAAAGTGATTCCTAAGTGTCTGCCAGCTCTTATGGTGACACAATAAAAATGTATCAAAATGCCATTGAAATACATGTGTACATTGTATACAGGCTTCAAGTTCAAACAAGATTTAACGACCTGATAACTACATGTAAGTTGACCAATTAATATTTTCATTCATGACAGTGACTAATTTGCTAATTTTCATGCTTAAGGGAAAAAACTATATTGTCAGTTTTTTTACAAGTAATATTGTGTCTGAGGATGACATGGTTTCTAATCAATGTCATATTTATCACAATACTTTTTACAAGTAAATTTTGTGTTTTTCAATGTCAAGACAAATTTATTTAAGATATGTACCATTTCACCACAAAAGATTCTGTGTTGATTATGTTCTCTGTGTTACTATCAAAGAGATCATGGAGAGATTGAACGCTGTCCTGGGTTGATTCCACGTGATGAGGCTCTCCATCAAACACATTTTTGTTGTGCAGGTAAGTATCACGTAGATCACTGTAAGTAACCTTAAAAGAAGATCCACCCTGAAAACAAAACAAATCCTCATAGTATCTGGAACTTTCATGGATTTAATTTTCTTTGTTAGTTCAGTAAATTTGATACTTTTTTTTTACATTCAGATAAACATTTGAAATGTACATGTACCTGATGCAAAAGCGGTTGTCTGACTTCCAGGAGCAAGGTCACAAGGCTAGCATTGATGGTCTGGAAGGTTATCAGGGATGTGGTACCCTCACAGTACACACAGGATATCTCCGGCTCCGTAAAGTAAGGGTTTTCAACTATGCACTCAGCATCATAAAACTCTGCACAAATATGTGTTATCATAGAATTCTGTATTTATATGTACAATATGAAATGAAGTATGAATAATGTCTTTCATTTCACACATAGTTCAGCCTTATTTATGTAACTAGTCGTCAAATAAAGCACAATTCATATATTCGTGTTAGATCTTGATAGGCTGTTGAGATGGAAGCATTTTTACTGCGTTTCTATCCAAAGTCTGCCAGCAACTAACATTGATAGAATTGTCTATCTAATGTACTTACCAGTTATGTTGAACATGTCGTGTAAAGGCAGGGTTATCAGTCTGACGTATCGAAATATGTCATATCCAAAAGGCTGGAGAGTTCTGGAAATGAAACTCTCCACATCACTGTTGTAGCTGGTGACAAAATACAAGGATGTACAGGTAATAGATATAAGAAACAAAATCACCAACCAAAACTTGAAACTGAATCGAATCAGTGACCATATTTGTCTCCCCGTTGACGTTAGGGTTGGCTCTAGTTTTTCCTTGTCAGTGCTGTTCGCAATTACTTCATCGATACATGAATTGATCTCCTCTTCTTTCATACCCCATTCCTTTCCTAAACTACGTAAAGCTGACACGTTATTTCTCAAGAATTCAACATGCTGTAGCACTTCCGCGTCCATGACTGCCAACTAATCGTAACCTCTCTACAACTTTTATAGTCAGCCGAGAATTCCGAACGAACATATGTAAGACCAAAGTAGTCGATCAAAGATTAACGATACTTTGGCAGTAATGATCCATAATACACGACAAGAAATGCAAATCTTTATATACTGTAATTTTCATTTATTATAGTACAAAGCATCTAGCTGAGAGTATTATGTTCTATTCCCACATATTTATATCATATTATCGGTTACTTTTGACTATACTAATCAAGTAAACAAGCATGGCGAATATTGATGACAGCGAGATGAAAGAAGTTGTCGAAAATATCGTCTAGTTTTGGTGCCGTAAGTATGTTTAAGCATGATAGTTGTTGGTGCATATGTTCTCCGGACGTTTCATCGAATGATATATGACAATACTTACCAGAAAGCATCCTCCATGTGCCGGTATTTAGAGCGAGTTTACGGATGAAGTTGCTGTTACCAAATCATGCTGTTTATGCATGCTTCAAGTTGGATACGCTCAAACGATGATTTCGATACAGATTCCCTATGTTTGCTACTTCCTCTATCACTGAGTGACATTCAGAATAAATAGAAAACTATCAGATAATTCTCCGTTCTAACATTTTAACTAAATGTGGTGTGCTGCTTCGTGGCTCTTGCCCTGGCGTTTCGGCCGAAATAGTAAAATAACCTGAAAGGACCACAGCGCGTTTTTTGTAAAATATAACCACCCGCTGGTCTTTAAACTGTCCTACAGCTGCAGACAGGCGAAGAGTTTAACAGAACGCTTTACACTCGACAAATATATTAGGTTCTTTTATGATTACTAACAGGTGAGCAAGTTACATAAATAAACCACTTTATTGTATTATCTTAGAAAGGTCACATTTAAAACGTTTCATTTAAAACCGCATGAAATAAATTTTGTCTGTTGTTTTATTTACTGACTTATTAATCAAGAACTGGCTACAGCTAGCAGGCAGATGCAATAATTTATGAGAGCAGAATGAAGGTAAATGTTAGATCTAGATATGCAAATTAAATTTATAAACATTTGGCATTCTAAATGACAATTAATTTGTCCACCACACATTAAATATGTCTTTACAATATGAAGTATGCCCTACTGACCGTATTGTTCAAATGATTGAGTTGATTTTGACTTGTGTATATTAATGAAAATGATTATTTTTATTTGCAATAAACACCCAAGGGAAGTAACTCTTTGTTACAATATCCAAGTTAATTTCTGTTTCAAGATCATAAGGGTCTCAACAAGGAGAGGTAATTTACTAGGTATATCAGAGTATATTTAGAAGTGCCCATCACCTTCTTGTACATCCAGAAAACTGAAAACTGAGCAATATGATTTTTCCCATAATTAATCATGCCCAAGTCTTCACATAGGATTCTTCACAATTCAAGATCACTCCTATCACCCAAAGGTTATCAGCTCACCATCTGTTGATGGTTGACTGTAATGAATTCCTTTCTCATCCTGTCTCTTTCATCTGTCATTTGTCCATCATTAGACCTTTAAACAATTCTTGTTATGGCTTCAAATTTCACACGATGGAGCCCCTGATCTCTAGTTGTGCACTTTTAATTTTTGGACAGGTCAGAAAAACAAACAAATTGACAGGCCATATTGGATTTGTTATTGCTTATTCTTAAATTCTTCAATGGCTAGTTGCTCAGTCGGTCAGAGTGTTGGTTTACTTAACCTTAGAAGAAGATCTGAGGAGTGTAGTCGGACACACTTGGCTAATTGTGTTTCCCAGGAAGTGGGGAAATGGACCAGTCTGTTCTGAGTTGATCACGTCTTCAGGTAAATGGTGGCTTCCTCACTGAACAACATACAAGAGGCCAGTCACATGCCATCCAGAGCAATTAGAGTAAAATGTTTTACTACAACGAGACCCTGCCTCAAAATGATCCTGTCTATTCATTGGGTTGTAAGCCCAAGAACAAATATTCAGAAGTACTGGATACAACTTTCTGAAAGTCAGTATGTAGCACCCCCTTGGTCCCTAATTGATTTTTTGAACTTATTGAAAAGAACAAAATAGCTGATCAGAGGAAATCAATGGTTTTGACCATGAAAGATCAATATAGCTATTTCTTAGATGAACATGATGGCTCTTACAGTGCTCTTTCAATATTGGGACCAATTTCGAGAAAGATAATAAATGTAAGGTGGCCCACATGGATTTTGACAGAGAAGTTTGTATGGATGGTTTTCAAATTTTATATGTTGGTTCCTTTTGATCATTTCTTGTGCCCATTTGATTTAAGGACTGATCAGAAAAACAAAAAAGGCTGACATGCAATTTTAATTATGAAAAACTTTTACTGCAGTTTCTTTAGATGGACAGGATTGATATTTGTCAAAACTTCTATGTAGTCCACTGATAGTGCCCTTCAATTTTGAGACTTTTTCAAAAAACCAAATGGCACACAAGTGTCCTTGTTAGATTTTAACTATTGAAGATAACCAATACAACCATCTTTGATTTTGATAGTGAATGTTTGTTACCACTATTTCTTGAGATGCACATATTGGATGGATCATTTTGAAAGTTAATTTGTAGGCTGTGTTATCCATCTCAGAACTGCTGAAGAAAACAAAATATCTGACAGGTTGCCATCTTGGATTTGATAGTTTCAGATTGTCATCACTATAAAATTGATAACTAAAATTGGAAAGGAGTTTAAAAAATTGAAAAGTTCCATCTTTAGGGAACAAATGCAGATGCAAGTGTGGACAGCAAGATCTTTCTTGGATGTTTTCTAATTTTGGTATTATTATGTTTTCACTCACACTTGTGTGAGGAAACTTTCTTCTTGCATTCTTAATCCACTTTGGTTTTTGTGCAGTAACTTTTGTTTGGTTGTTCATGCCAACATTTGGGATATACTCCTTTTTTAATAGCTTGCCTTAACAGCATGATAGATCTCTTTCAGAGTATCTGATATTTGGTCTATGTAGCCTCAAACAGACTGAAAACTGCCATTGTTTCAACTGCATCTGAACAAGTAATCATTCACAGTGGCTATAGTGCTTTGCTTGACAAGTGAGATAAATGACACCAGTTTGAATTGTGTCAAACTGTACAAATGAAATTGTGGAAATGTTCAGATGTGACATGAAGTGGAGTCTCTGTGTCATTTCGTATTCATTAGTTACCACAAATAGAAGTTTACCAAATAATATAGAAATGCTTGTATTGGTGTGAAAATTAAAAAAATAATTACCTTATTTGAAGTTGGGACAAAATACATACAACCACTACGCGAGTTTGATATCTACAAAAATCTACACTTTGAGTGGCCATTGTCACCAAATTAGTAATACACCTAGAAGAGACTTGAAATTAGTAGCCTTTCAGTGTCTAGCAGGTCACTCTATACTTCTTGAATAAAGGATGATTCCTTTTAGCTTAGGCTAGTAAAGTGGTCTGTACACTCAACTTCTGTAAAACTATAATTAAGATGAATATTTTATGTAATAGAATGACATATATATATTTATGTATTACACTGTTATATGAGATGATGATGCCTTGCAGACAAATATTTTAACATTATAACATATTTATGCTATTTTCTATTTGTAAGTTATGTAGCTGTACTTTATGTTGTGTTAATACCATTTTGTATTTTATCAGATTGATGCTGAACAATGGAGGAGGGAAATGGCCAATTTCCACTCCACATCCAGACTGGTGACGGAGAATACATTGTTAAGGAAGAGGAGGATCTCTCCAGCCCTACCAGTCCTGACTACTACACTTCACCTGATGGAGCCTTTGACCGTGGTGTGCGGCTGAAACGGCGGCGACGCTGTGGACAATGTGGACCCTGTCAGGTGAAGGAGAATTGTAACAAATGTCACTTCTGTATCAGAAGGGATGTCCTTAAACAGACTTGTATGTACCGTAAGTGTGTTTACCTACGGTCTAAGCCGAAGCCATACTCTCGACCTAAAGAGACACCTCTTGCATCATCAGCTGCCAGTGTTCTTTCCCCGAATTCTCATGAGGGTCATGGTGATTTGGTCTCTCCATCTGGTTCTGGAACAAGCAGGTTTCTTGATGGTCCTTCTCCACCAAATAGGAGTGATGTCGCCAAACCAATAATGCCTCCAAAATTATCTGATCATTTCCCTTATCCAATTGGGCAAGGATTTCCCTCATTTGAGCCTATAATACGACCTCAAGGGCCATGTTCTGCCCCTCCAGCACCAGGACACAATTCCCACAGAATCCCTACAACTTCTCCCGCTATTCCCACATCCGTGATTGGTCCAATGGTGCCAGGAGTGCCAGGTCTAGTGGACCAACCATCGTTGTCTCATAATCACCAGATAGTCATGCCTCCTCCGCCAACAATAAATGACTTTAATGAGAGGACTTTTAATGAATTTAGGAGTCAACACATGCTTGGCATGCCACATAATCAAGTCCACTCCACACCACATCCGTTTGGGATAAAGGATCCACAAGAACTCTCAGATGTGCACTTCCCTCCATACGGTCGACCAGATTCACAGAGGACTCCGGCTGGAGCTTCATCTTGTGTATATCCTCATGGTATAGCACCAACCATATCTGCTACTGGGTTTAACAGTTCAGTGGACAGTACTTCTGTACTAGGTTCTCTTGACCGACAAACACGAGCATTCTTTCCTTCACACAATACAGACATGTTTCGACATTTTCCTCCTCTACCTCCAGGCTATGCCTATCCCTCGGGACGATATGGTCAGAATTTCACATCGCCTCATTACCCCCGTTTTGGGTCAATGGGGATGCCACCTCCACCTCCTCCGCCGCCCCCAAATTTGGGCCTGAAGCCTCAGGGTGGTCACACCCAGCCCTGGGGCTTCACTCAAACATATTCCAGCTGTGAGCAATCTAATGGGTGTCCAAAAAACGGGTGTTGTCCTCCTGCGTCCCAGAATTTGGGTTCGGATGCCCAAGTGATGCAGGAGATATATGGAAATGTCCTCAGCTCTAGGATACCTATGGATTGCTCTCCATCTCAACGGAGACCAGGGTCTGCTATGAGCGACGATTCCGGCAGGATGAGTATGACATCATCAGATTTTGAATCTGATGTCATTAGTATTGATGATTTTCAGATGAATGCTTTAATACGTTCTGATGGAAGCAACAGTCTACAAATTGAAATTGGGAATTCTGGGATACTGACCAAGCATGACAGCCCTGTCAAAAAAGGTAAAAGTAACAAATTTAATATGGAATCCATTCTTGCATCATCTTTACAAAATCTTACCTCTTCTCCTGATGAATGTGAAACTGCAGATGGTAACACAATCAACAGGAAGTGCACAATCAATGGGACAGTGTATGTAAAGCAGGATCTCGGGGACAGTGGAGTGGTCCAACTGGAAATACCAGGTAACAAAGTCACCTTGGAGAACAGCTACCTGGATGACAAGTTGGCACGATACTCTAGCAATGTTGAAGAACTGCTAGAGTTTATAAGAAAGGAACCACAAACTGAGTTTTTAAGGGATAATTAAACTGGTATTAATTTGATTATGGTTTAGAAGTATCTTAGGAAAATTGTTTTATGTTTAAATGAAAAGATGAGTGTAAAAAGTATATTTCAATGATAAATAACCAAGCATCGTTTATGAAAGCTGTATTTTTAACGCAGTAGCCAATGATTTCTCTTTGAGAGTTCAAGTAACTACTTTTGAAATGGCAGAATGTTTTATGTATTTTCTGTCTTTGTGTTAAATTTAGTTTTGGTAATATTATCCGTGTTAGTACAAGTTCATTGAGCCTCTTATCCTCCAGCATCAGGGATAGAAGGAATGTATAGTGTTATTGTGTACTAACAATAGAATGAACCAATCTGGAACTTCTCTAAACTGAAAGTTGATTAAGTGGTATCTCATTAAGTGGTTGATATGACAAATCCTACCAATGGTACTGTAACTTTATGACAGAGCCTACCAACGGTACTGTAACTATGTGACAGAACCTACCAACAGTACTGTAATTATGTGACAGAACCTACCAACAGTACTGTAACTAGGTGACAGAGCCGACCAACAGTACTGTAACTATATGACAGAGCCTACCAACAGTACTGTAACTATATGAAAGGACCTACCAACAGTTTTGTAACTATATGACAGAGCCTACCAACAGTACTGTAACTATATGACAGAGCCTACAAACAGAATTGTAACTATATGACAGAGCCTACCAATGGTACTGTAACTATATGACAGAGCCTACCAACAGAATTGTAACTATATGACAGAGCCTACCAACAGAATTGTGACTTTATGACAGAACCTACCAACAGAATTGTAACTATATGACAGAACCTACCAATGGTACTGTAACTAGGTGACAGAGCCGACCAACAGTACTTTAACTGTATGACAGAGCTGACCAACAGTACTGTAACTATATGACAAAGCCTACCAACAGTACTGTAACTATATGACAGAGCCTACCAACAGCACTGTAACTTAAATGAAGTGTCTAACAACAGTACCATAAAGGAAATATGGCTCACCTTTTGTCATATATAAAGTGCACTTAATTACAAATTGAATATTTCTAAATCTTCATTTATCGTAAGAAAATTGATTTATAAATATGATTCAGAAGTAATCCTGCAGGTTATTCTTTGAGTGTATTTTTTGTTCACAGCATTTGTGAATATTGAATTGATAAAGATGTATAATACTGAGAGAAGTTTAAGAAAAATCTCATTGTTTAAATGCCTTTTTTTTTATTACCATGAAAGGTTTCCTTCATCTAAAGTATATATTAGATTAAGCCAAATACAAAAACACCATCTTATACTAACTTTCCAGTTTATAATTACATAATAGGCTTTAAAATAAAGGGAGTGATTACTCGTTTAGATTTATAGATATTAATGTTAGAAAAAGAATAAAAAGGAAGTGAAATATACTAGATACCAGAGGCATGCTTTTGTAGGTTTCTGTAAGACTTGTCTCCCTTAGTACTTAATCTCAGTCATATATATTTAGTAGAGTTGCTTCCCTTTATTAATATTGACCAGTGTTTAGTACTTGTAGACTTTTGTTTATACCTGAATACTAATGTTGATATCTATTTTGAAATCATGCAAATGAGCTGATTTAACTACATTAGTATGACTTTTAATGTGATTTAGTGTTTAGAGATAGTTGTTTTTAGTTACTTCTGGTATGAAATTGTCCTATAAATATGTTGACTATTTCAAAGGTCAAAGGTTGTGTTTTAAAATTCTATTGTTTCCGACTTATAACCATGCAGCAGAATTTTATATAGAATGAAAATATGTTACACACTTTTTAATTATATACAAATCAGATTCCTTATTAAGATTTGCTGGTCAAAGTTTTATGAATGATTATGGCTATGGTCAATGGTTGCATTTAGTTGTGAAAATGTTTCACATGCATGTATGTCCTGAAACATGTATACGTGTAAATAGTAGGACATTTTCATTGATATGTCATTAAAGACTTACATCTTAAAGCCCTTCCTCAGTGACACTTTACGTTGATGTTGAATACGTTTATCAAAACCTGTAAAAGGTAGCCTTAAATAAACAATATATGCTTGTAAGAAACACTAGAAATATATAATGCTGGTGTATGTTAATAATATTGTGATTGCAGTCAGCATTGTTATTGACACGGCTTTGTTGTGAGGTCAGTTGGAAAACATATACAAATTCTGCCAGTGTGGATATTTTGAGAATTTAGGCGACAAGTCTTGCTCTTTGCTTAATATTGACTAACAAAGAGAAGCCCTAAACATTACTGCTGATTAGCTGGCTAATCACAACACTAAACGTTTGTCCAGTGTGGTTAGATTTGTCAGTCTACTTTAAAGACAAGATTCAACCAATGTGACACATCAATACATTAAAATGTACATATAAGTTTTCAGTGTTAGAATTACATGTGTAATTGCTATCTGTGGCAATATATATATTGATGTTGTGTTGTATATCCCTGTAAATAATAGTGCTGGATTACAAAATATGAATAACTTTAGTTTTATGTTAGCAAATCTACATGTTGTGAAGATAGAATTTTATCATTATATTCTACGCACAGGTAAATGGATACAAAAATTATAGACTTTGTCACTTATGAATTTGAAAATTTTACAATTAGAACAAAAGTGAAGGACTAAGGATAAAAGATCTCTTGAACAAATTTTAAACCTATTTCTCTTTACATGGTTTAAATGACTTTTCCAAATCATCCCTTCCTGTTAGAATGCTTGATTGTTATATTTTAAATTTTGTACAGCTTGTTTCAAGCAGTTCAAATCGATTCATATCAGGTTAAGATTATGGTAGGTTTTAGACATTACAGTACTTATTATAGAAATAATCTGTTAAATTTGTATTTTTTTTTAAACAAAGTTATTGTTAGTGCTATATTTATTACATGTAAAACATTTTTAAAGAAGAACCTCAGGTTTGCATCGTGATAAGATCTGGAATATTTCTTTATCATTATAATTATGTTTTAAATTTGGGGAACATCATTTCATTTTCTTCAGGTTAGTAATGTAGTAATGACTACACTAGTATTGTCACCTTTATGAAACAAATTACTAGCATGAAGTGTACTAACACTGACATATTTCGTTTATTGGATGATAAAGCGGAGCTGAATTTACTACATTATATTGTTACCATCTTGTGGAATGTTTTTCTATCATATGTTTGTCATCTAAACACCCTATTAGTGTACTTATGATCGTATATGTAGTACAGCAGAAAAAGTTGGTCAATTTCATACCATCTTGTACACTACATGCTAGGAATTTATCTGATGAATATGACGATGTAGTCATCAAAACGTCACACTTAATTCTTCCATTCTATAGAGGAAGATAAATTTTTGTTTCAAAGTTGAAAAGTGGTCATGAATATTTGCAAAAAAAAAAAAATCACTTAACAAAGGAAATATTCTGACATCATTATGTAGGCCTACAAACAATGAATAAATTATTATTATAATTTTATATATTTTCTAATAAGCATTTCACACATTGGTTTTGATGAAATAAAACTAGATGAATGAAACATGAACATTTTGATGAAATTAATAACAAAGCATAATTTGTGTAATAAAAAGTCCTGAAGATACCAATACATTATCAATTTTATGTTGATGCTGTTTGAGCACTTTAAACATCAACTAAAAGGTGAAGACTCAACAGATCTTCAAAAAGACCATAATGTCATGAAATACAAACGTTTATACAAAGCCTTAAAAGGTTGTGTTGGTGTTAAGAATGAATTCAGTAATGCCAAATTGTCTTAGTAGTGGCATGGTGAGTTATAAAAGTTGAAAATATTTCATATGTGAGTAAAAGTCCATAAAGGTGTGTATTAATCTGTCTACAAATAAAGCTAGGTATGGTTATACAAGGGAATCCATTTTAAAGATATTTGCCTATATTTAGTTAATAGAAATGTTTTGGTAAATGTTGTCCATATGTATTGTTATGAAATGTTGAAAATGACTAAAATCATTGATATTGTTTCTAGGTGTGTATTAGTGCTTTATACATGTTTATTAATATATCTACAATAAGATCTGTCTACATTGGTTTAGATTTGTACACTAGTTTGATTATTGTACAGTTTTTAGAAGACACATAGAAGGATGGTGATTGATGAATTGAATCCTGAAATGCAAATCTAGCACTTTCACACATCACTAGGTGTCATAAATTGTAAAATTGAGGCTTTAAAAAAAATTAACTTTTCATATACATTTACCATTACTTAGGAATTAAAAAAAATATTCTGTTTTATACAGTATCTTGAAATCATTTATTTATTTTACTTCAAAACCACCATGTCAGCAATGAATATGAAATTTTAAAATTTTAATATTGGTATATATTAACATAATGAAAATGAATGAATGAGTACATCTTCAATTTATGTGAGAGAATTTCCTAGTGTTACACATTAGATATGCAATATAAACAGAATATCTAGTAATAAGACAATGCTGACAGTGTTCAGTTGTTTATAACGTGTTGATTTGAGATTTCTTTCTGAATTGTGATCGTCTTGTTATCCCTTTGAAACAAGTACAGCTGAATTGTCATAATCATGGTGCTTTTTTGTTGATATTTCATAGGCCGTTAGTGCATGCCCCTTTTTAGATTTGATTGTTTACCATATCACATACCTATTGTTTGTAGTTTATATACATGTACTTGTTTTCATCATATTGATGCATATGTTTTAATTTTGTATGGATGTGAAGTAAAGTGTTTAGTTTGTATTTGTGAAAAGGAAAAGTTTAAAGAAATATCTGAATCTCACTACTGTGTAAAACTTGAATGCCTTTAGTAGTATGTATAACTTTACTTCTAGTAATGAATGACCTTTAGTTAGGAAAGTTTTAAGTTGTGCATTATTTTTTTTAAGCTATAAAAAATAACAAAAAACTCCTTTTGATCTATTGATAGTAATACAAATACTTATGTAGTATCATGAAAACTA